GAGAGAGAGAGAGAGAGAGAGAGAGAGAGAGAGAGAGAGAGAGAGAGAGAGAGAGAGAGAGAGAGAGAATCAAAATAAATCCCAATGCTCAATCCCCAAAACTAGAAGGATCTGACGTGTAACAACACAGAAGGTGGTTTCAAAACATCACCCATTTTGTCCCTTGCTTCATGCTGAGAGGAATTACTCCACCTGGCATTTCCAGCTCAGAAAAACATTCCCCCACCCTCCTTCTGTTACGTCAGATTGCAAGGTTCGGGAGAGGGGGGTCACTGAATGGTCTCCTTTTCTGAGCTTCCAAAAGAGGGAAACTCGGACCTTACTAAAGAAGCCAAAGCCTCTGTCGTCTCATAAAAAGGATTGTAGGTCGTCAGAATAACAGAGTTGGAAGGGACCTTGGGAGGTCTTCTAGTCCAACCCCCTTGCTCAAGCAGGAAACCCTCTGCCATTTCAGACAAGTGGCTGTCCAATCTCTTCTTAAAAATCTCCAGTGATGGAGCATCCACAACTTCTGGTGGCAAGTTGTTCCACTGGTTCATTGTCCCCACTGTTAGGAAGTTTTCTCCTTAGTTCCAGGTTGCTTCTCTCCTTGTTTAGTTTCAATCCATTGTTTTTTGTCCTGCCTTCAGATGCTTTTGAGAATAGCTTGACCCCCTTTTCTTTGGGGCAGCCCCTCATCCTTCCTTTCATTAAACTAGAGATATCCAATTATATATATTGGACTAGATGACCTACAAGGTCCCTTCCAACAACTCTGTTAATCTGTAAATATACAGTACATACATACATACATACATATGTGTGAATGTGTGTAGAAAAGGGCTACAAAGATGATTAGGGGATTGGAGGCTAAAACATATAAAGACCAGTTGCTGGAATTAGGTAAGAATTGGGTATATATAAAATATAAATAAAGTAGCTTGATACCTGTGCTTCGATACAAAACTATGTGGTCAGGCTTAGTTTTTGGATGCCTACCAGCATCCATCAGTATTCATCTGGATAGCATCTTGTCAGTGTGTGAGAGAGTTGAGGACTGTTTTGAAACTGAAAGAGTATTTGCTGTGTGAGCAAGAAGAAAACTGCAAGGAGCCTGGGCATGGCTTAGCTCAACTGTTCTGCGCTAAAGCTGCTTGCTGCTGTGAAATTAAAACTGGAATTGAAACGCCTCTCCTCTGCTTGTGTTTTGCATTTGGAACAGATTCCTGTTCGGTGGGGAGGGAGAGTAGAACTCCTTAGCACCAGAGTGTGTTGTTAATAATAATAATAATAATAATAATAATAATAATAATAATAATAATAATAATAATAATAATAATAATAATAATATACGTAATACAGAGGTGGTATTCAGATGGTTCTGACCAGTTCTGGATAACCGGTAGTGGAAATTTCGAGTAGTTTAAGAGATCTGGCAAATATCACCTCTGACTGGCTCTGCCCTCATCTATTCTCTGCCTCCCATTGAGTCCCAGCTGATTGGCTGGGTCTTCTTTGGTTGCCCTGCACAGGAGAACAGAGCTGGAAAGCAGGTTAGTGGGGTAGGGAAGGAATGGAACTTGGCAGTAACCTTCACCCAGGAGTGGGGAGGGAATGGAGATTTTGCAGTATCCTTCCCCTGCCATGCCCACCAAGCCACACCACACCCACCGAGCCACACCCACAGAACCGGTAGTAAAAAAAAATGAATCCCACCACTGATGTAATACTAATGCTCTGATGGTCATTTTGAAAAATGCTTTCTTGGTGAGCACCTAGAAGCCAAGAGGAACATAGTGCCAAATTTCAAGTTTGTAGGCTTTACGGTTCTGGAGATTTTGTGATGATGCGTGAGTCATATTTCACTTTTATCTGTATAGATTATTATATATATTGTATATATATATATATATCCCTTGCACTTCCACAAACAAATCCATCCCCAAGCTGGAATCAGAGAGCTGTCCGGAGGCCTCAGTAGAAACAAACTTTATTCACATGCTAAGCAGAAGGGCATCGCTCTCCCACGAAAAAAACCCGGAAACACAGACGTGGAATCTCTGGGAACATTCTCTGCCTCTCTCTCTCTCACACACACACGCAAAGATTTGGGGGACACGGCACAGGGAGGGCTGCCTAGCAGGCTCCTTAGTCATGCCAGAAATATACCACTTGATCAGTGATAATGTTTTTATAGGTTTCCACAGTTGATATGAAGTTGTTATAGCTGTTCCTGGAAAGGAAGAAAGAAGAGAGGGCATCTTTCAAATCGTCAGCCCCAAAGATTTCTTTTTACGGCAGATAATCCTCGACTCATACAACCAAAACAGAACCCGAGTTTTCTGCGGCTAAGCAAGACAGCAGTTAGTTGAGTTGATTCCCCCTTTGGGGGGCGGGGCACGGTTTGTTAAGGAAATGGACTGACTTCGCTTTGTTGGAAACCAGGTCGCAAAAGAGGATCACGCAACCCTCAGAGGCTGCAACCGTCATAAATACACACCAGTGGCCAAATGGAGAGGTTGCAACGGTTGTGTGAAAAGCAGACGTAAGCCATTTAGGAGAAGATAAAATTGGCTTTGATTCAGTCTTGGGGAAAGCCAGCTGGGTGACTCTGGGCCAATCACCAGGAGATGGTGAGTTCTAGTCCCACCTTAGTCATAAAAGCCATCTGGGTGACTGGGCCAATCACTTGGAGAGGGTGAATTCTAGTCCTGCCTTAGCCATGAAACCCAGCTGGGTGACTTTGGGCTAGTCATTCCCTCTCAGCCCAATCTACCTCACAGGGATGTTGTGGGAAAAGTAATAATAGGGAAGAGTATTAGGTATGCTCGCCACCTCAAGTTACTTATAATGTAATAAAAGAAGGATAAAAAAAATTAAAATAAATAACATCAACAATAAACATAATCTACCACTGATCAGAAAGGAATGTAATATTTCCTTGGGGGAAGAAAAACCCTACCCCTGTCATTTCCTTACCAAACTTTCTGGCTGACTTCCAAGGATTTGACTTTGTCTACCCAGGAGTTAGTCACATCGGAGATGTAATCAAAGTACCCCTTGGCCGCATCC